GAGGGCGGAGGGAGCGGGGCCGGGAGGGGGTGGTGAGCGCGGGGACAGCTTCGGTGCATCCCCGCACTGCTGCAGCATCCCCGCACTGGCCTGGCTGCAGCGCCTCGCCCTGTGCTGCTTGTCCTGTCCCCACAACTCCTCTCCGCTCCCTTCCGCCGCTGCCTTCACCCCCACCCTGCTGCTTGCAACTTCAGGCCAGGTCTGGCCCCCACTTGGCTGGCGGTGGGCAGGTGGTGAGGAGTAGGGGTGAGGTGGTAGGGGGACAGGCGCGCTTGGGACTGGCAGTGGCTCTGAGTTGGAGCCGAAGCAGCCCCCTGTTCTCCCCACTTGTACTCGGATCCAGGATGAGGGATTTCCCCCCTGTGTTAAAAGGGAGGGGGGGGGGGAGTGTAACAGGAGAGCCTTCTTTTCTGTCCCTGGGAGGAAGGGCAGGTGGAGTGGCTGCAGCCTACAAGGAGCTCAGCCGAGGGGGCTGCGGGGCTGAGCCTACAGATTGCAGACAGATGAACACTTGCCAGTTGAACAGGGAATGAGTGGTGTGGTGGGCCAGTAGGGGGCGCTCCTGCGCTGAGCCACCCATGTCACTGTGCTAACCAGCTACCAAGCTTTGGCTGCCTCCCCAGGGCACCAACTTCTGGCCAACCCCCTTCCTGGAGCACACCCGCGAGCCTGGGGTAACTGCTGCCTCCACCTGGGGTCTGGTCTTTGTCTGGGCTCTGTGCCCTCTGGGGTACACAGGCCTTATAGATTTTGAGGGTGCTTGACCCACTGTGAAATCTTGGGGTGTTTCCTTTAACCAGAAGCACAGAAAATAGCCTCCCTTAGTCAGCCGAGCAAAGAGAGCATGAAGGCGTGCCCAGTCCCTCTCAAGCATGTACCACAAACCTTGCTATCGTGGATAGCTTTATTGAGTAGAGAGGGTAGGCATGGGGAGGGGTACAAGGCAGAGAAGTAACAACAGAATAACTGAGCAAACAGACCCAGCCTGATAGCCATTTGATCCACTTCTAGATTACTATAAACTACATTTCTATTTAAGTTACTGGTAATTCACTACTTGTGGAGGGGCTGTTTTATACTATTGTTGTGAGCTCATCACTAAGTTCCCACCAGAAGCAGACCCATTGGCTGCTGACTGGTGCTTCCCAATGACATCACCTTCCCAGGTGAGAGGACTAGTCACATGACCTGCAGTGGTGGGAACACTTAAGCAAAGAGAGAGCTCCCTCTCACCTGTGGAATTACAACGCTGTTAACAAGGAGACCAGGTGTATCCAACAGCCAGAGTTTGTAACCAGATGGGGAGGGTTTGGGCTGCTGCATTACAGCAGAGAGAGAGACTGGCGGGTGACTTCTTCACAAGTGGTACCTGGGCCCCATTAGTAACAAGCCAGGTCAGGTGACTGAAAGAAGGTGAACCAAGGGTCATAGTAGGGAGGGAAAAACCTCATCTTGGATTTGAGTAAATATGGTAGATGGTTAGTGCTGTGGTATTAAGAGTCCTGAAACCAATGGGCTGCTGTCATTTTTAAGGCTTCTACAAGCTGTTTCCCTTTCACAGTGTTTGACTTGGCTGAATAGAATAAGTTACAAAGCAGAGGTGGTTGGTTGGTCTTGTCAGCTTGAAGTCGGGCAGAAGGCAGCACACAGGGTGCATCAGACCAGCTGGTGCTGTGAGGAATTGGGCCTTGTAGGCAACAGCGTATTTCATCAGATGCTTATCTGTAAAATGTCTTATCCAGTTGATAGCTTTACTTATAATGAATGTTAAGTCTGTGCATCTTTCTGTAGCTCAGTATGAAAGAAGAATTGTTTTTTAACACACACAATTAGATTAGGTAAATGCCCATGTAGTCTTAACTCTTGTTCCCCTTCTTTTACCTCAAGGATGATAGTAGTTAATGAAAAACACTCCTGCATTTATTGCATGTGCTGTAGCTGTGTTGTACAGTAAATATTTCTCCCCAAAATCGTGATGGCTTCATTACTGTACCTACAATTTAAATTTAAACATGTGAAGGAAGATTGGTCTATCCCTGTGTCCGCATCACTTCCAGCCCAAGCTCCCCTTCCCATCCTATTAAACTGAGACACAAAAGGTTGCTCCTCATTTGCTGCTCTCATCTGCAGCAGGCATGTATGAAGGGCAACAGCTTGCTGCTCATAGGATAAGAGGGCAGGAACGGACCTCAAAAGGTCATCTATTCTAGCCCCATCTCGAGGCAGGATCACCTCTGACTCAACTATCCCAATCAAGTGTCTATGTAACCTGCTTTTGAAAATTTCCAGGGATGGAGATTCCATAGGTTCTCTAGGTAGCCTGTTCAGTGCTTGTGCTCTCACAATCAAAAAGCCCTTCCTAGTCTCCAACCTTCATTTCCCATGCTGCAGCTTGAGGCCAAGGCTCTTAGTCCTGTATCCTACAGCTGTGATGAACCATCTATCTCCATTCTCTTTATAATTGCCCTTCAGGTATTTGAAGACTGTTACCAAGCCCATGTCAGTCTTCTCTATTCCAAATTCAATTATTCCAAGAGTCTGTCATCCTTTGCTCATAAGTAGGGACCTACTGAAATTGCAATTGTGTGATTTTTTTTCACAGAAATCATGAATCTTGGTGGGATCTGTGAAAAATGGTGGGCTCTGTGATTTTTAGTAGGTTCTCTGAGGAAAAAAATAAAATCGAGCTGTAAGAAGACAAAAGGGTGTGAAACCCTGGGGGTGGGGTGGGGTGGGGATGGGAGGAGAAGGAAGTAAATCAGAGACAGCCTGTGAGGTAGGCTCAGTCCAGGGCCAGTCAGAGAAGTGGGAGTGTTTTGGTGCCAGTTTTTAAAGCACCCACAGGCATGCTGTAGCCTGAGGAGGAGCAGGGATGATGAATTTTAAGAAATCTTCCAAGAAGGCCGAATACATTTCAGCACTGGGCAGTGTAAAATAGTATCATGCAGGGACCTTGCATGCAGATGGAAACAGACTTTTCTGTACCATCAGCAATGTAACTCTGGATGTGTCGAGAAAAACCAGCATTGATCAACACTTAGAGTCCACGGCACATGTGAAGTAGAAGGTTGTTGCAGAAGCTGAAGGTTAGAGCAAGAAACAAGCGATCAAGCCCTCCCTGTTTAAGAAGACCATAAAAAGCAGCTTGGTGAGGCGAGAGGTGGCATTTTCCCTTGTGGAGGATTCCACAGTGGCGAACATCCCACTGGAGAAACTTGATCATCCAAAATTAAGGGACTACCTGAACCAAAATATGCCAAATGCTAGCAGTTTTCTGTGTCCCAACAAGCTTCACCAAGACTGTCTCCCTGCAGTGACTGCTTCATATGTACAGTCCACAAAGGCTGCCTTGGCAGAGTATGACTCCTTTTCTGTTGTGGCTGATGAAGCTACCGACCCTCAGGATAACTACGTGCTATACACTTTATTCGTATTGGGGAGCTGGACAGCCCAGAACCTGCCTGTGTTGTTAAACGGAGCTGGTCTACCTCACATCTGTGTCTGTTTTCCCTACCATGTCAGAAGCTATCATGAGGGTAACTGTCTGCTGTGGCAGGTACTAAAGTACAAGATAGCATTGTCAGACAGGAATACTGATATGTACATGTGCAAGACTGATGTGCTGTAAGGAATGCTGCCCATGGAACCTGCGTGCACAGTTTCCCTGATGTGGATAGTTTGGTGTCTTCCTTCAAGTGCTGTCCAGGCTGTAAGGTCCGGTACAGGGGGTCTGTTGCCAGTCAGAATAGGGACTCAAATCGCACTGTGCCACTGCCACTCAAGCCTATGATCACAAGGTGGAATTTGTGTTTCACGGTCTGTTACCATGCCAAACGTATGCAGTCTTACCAGCACTTTGAGTGAGGAGCTGGAAATCGCACTGAGCACAAAGTGCATGCATAAGATTTGCAATCTTTTAGGGCAAGATGACATTCAAGATCAGTTTCATACCACATGGTTCATGGAGCTCCTAATGCAGGTTGAAGGCTGGCATGTTGTCATCTACCATGTACTCAAGCAAATGGATTTGATAAGTTAGGACGAAGATGGGGCATCATAAGAACTGTCAAGCTGTTCTCGTGAAAAACAGTGGAGAAAGGACACCTGTTCTAGGCAATAGCTTTGAAGCTGAACCAGTACTACAGGTACGGCCTATCACTCTCATTGCAGTTCAGACAACTGGCTGCCTCCCTTCTTAGTGTTGTTAGCATTTTGGACACCAATGGTGCTTGTTTTGAGTTGTGACTCAGCTGCTGAAAGCAATCCTGGGATGGGGGAAAGGGCATGACAACAAATGTGCTGCTTATGTGAACTTTGCCAAAGAGTGCCAGATGCCTATGCCTGTGTTTTGGGACTCTGTGACCAGTTTCCACATCTTCATGCCCTGGCAAAACAGTGCCTCACCATTCCAATGAACTCAGTAGACACTGAGCATGCTAACTCTGTATAAACAAGAGTTCCCTCACGAAGAATGTCTGCAGAACTGCACCTGGATGCAGTATGCTCGCGTTTAATAGCTAGCATGAAGTGCCTGTTTTGAGGTTAACATTCCGTTTCAGTAAACTCTTTATATTTTATATAATGTCCTTTAATAAAGTGTATATAGTTGGTGTTAGTTGCAATTCATTGTGTACATACCTTTATTTTAATAAGATATTTCAGTTTAGAGTTTAATTACTTGGATCGCTTAATAATGCGTCAGTTAATGGTTTCCATGGCCTGAATCCCATGATTAAGCCCACAGAAACCATTAAGGGAAACACTGTTAAGCAATTTAAGTGGTGGTTTGGGGGCATCTGGCAATCTCCAGGGAGGGGCAGGACAGCTGGAACTCCTCAGCCAGAGGCATGGGATGGGCCCACTGCACTCAGCCTGTGAAAATGGCAGCTGGCCCTAGGATCTGCCTATGAAATTGGCCAGCCGCTGCCTTGAGTTTGGTAGACTCCTACTCACTAGTTTTATTTTTGTCAGACTCTTTCAAATCTGTCTACCACTTCCTTGAAGTGGGGGCCCCAAAACTGGACACAGTACTGCAGATGACAAATAGAGTGGAAGAACTGCTTCCCCTTATTTGCAAGTGGAATTCCTTTTAATACAACCCAGGTTCTTATCTGAATAAAGCTGCTCTGAGCCTTTGGATAGGAGGGTTTATGAATCTGAATAATAATAATAGTAATAATATATTCTTGCCTTTTTTTTGCAACAAGAGCACACTTTTGACTCATTTAGCTCATGCTCCACTGTGACTCTCAGGTCTTTTTCTGAAGTACTGCGGTGTAGCTAATCATTCCCCATTATGTATTTGTGCTTATAATTATTATATTCCAAGTGCAGAACTTTGCACTTGATCTCACTGAATTTCATCTGACTGACTTCTCACTGTTTCTCCAATTTATTCAGGTAATTGTAGATCTTAGCCTTACCCTTCAGAGTGTCTGCAACTCCACTCAACTTGGTGTCATCTACAAATTTGCTAAGCATGGACTCCATCCCATTGTCCAAATTATTAATGAAGATGTTAAACAATACTGAACCCAGGCCAGAAACCTGGGGAACCTACTTGATGCATTCTCTCAACTAGATAGTGAGTTATTCATAACTACTGATTGAACATGATGATTCAACCAGTCTTGTATCCACCTTGCAGCTTCCGTCTCATCTATTCTTGGTGAATTCATGTTGGCTGTTCCTGATCACCTCATATTCCTCCGAGTGCTTCAGAATAGATTCATTGGTGGCCTGCCCCACAATCTGTGAGGTCAGACTGCCTGGTCTTTAATTTCCATGTTCCTTTCTCCCTTATCTTAAATGTGGGCACTGTGGGCAGCAAACTTCTTGCAATATTTAACCTGAGCAGTTCACTGAATTTGAATTTGACCCCACGTTCCCAGCCATGTCCTAGCTTAGGGGCAGGCAGTTATTCTGGGCCGAGGGCCGTTTACTGAGTTTTGGCAAGCCATTGAGGGCCGCATGACAGGCAGCCAGGGGCAGATAAAAAAAAATTCAGAAAATTAAAAAAAAGGGGCCCCAGGGGCCGGATAGAATGGCCTGGCGGGCTGCATCTGCCCATGGGCTGAATTTTGCCCCCCCTGCAGCTTTCTCCCTTCTGTCTTCCCCCAACCTTTGCCAAATTTCCCCCTTCTCTGACATCACCATACATAGAAGTAGCATATACTTTAACTTTATATCTCCCTTGTTTTCTGAGACCTTCAGATATGCCTCACATGAGGGAAAGAGGAGGGACTTGTATAGGCTGGAAGGCAGAGACTCCTGTGTTTTGAGCATTAAGTTCGTGTTTCCTTGTAGATCTAAATGATTTGATTACCTTCTAAAGTAGTATTTCCACATAATGGCAGTAGGTGTTGTGTGTAAATTGGGGTATGATAGGAGGCATGTTCTGATTCCTAGGTCCACCCAAATAAAGCTGGTAGAATCTGTCAAACTTAGAAAAAGCAAGTTCTTTTTGGGGCCCTTTATGTTTAGGATCCATGCCTCAAGTGACTTCAAATGTGGAACACCTGTCCCAGCCTGTTCCCTTACAAGGTACATCAAACTTCAAGAGTATCCTAATAAGCACATGGTTTTTAGAGCAATTAACTAAAACTTATCTAGAATTAAAATCCATATAGTTTGTTATAATGCACTCTATTTATACAGCAGTGCATAACTCTAGGATAAAATATTAATCATGTTGTCATATGTAAGACATCTTATTGATAAGCTTTGTAAACAATAAATAATTAAGTCCATGCTTTGTAGATGTTTCATGAATAGGTTGTCTGAAGACCACAAAGTACTTTATAGATTACAATTTAATATTAATACAAGGCTTTCATATTCAGTCCATGTAAGGCGTATATGAGGCATAATACAGATTTAACTGATGGGCTTTGAAATTGAAGTGGATACTGTTTTGAAGTCTGTGTCATGTTTTTTGTTAGATTAAGGACGCAATTGTGTTGGGTGCTCCTATAGAAAGTGCACCTCTGCTGAGAACTAAGAGTGTGCATCTTGTACACTTAAAACCCAGATGACTATAGTAGTATTCTCTGTGCAAGTTGAAGAATGTATTCTCCTTCAGATTGATGTGTTTGGACTGTGGCAAAACAGCATATTAGGAAATGAGACTTCCTGGAATTGCCTAAATCCATAGTGATATGTTTGCAGTTTCTAAAATTGTGGTAGTAACAAGCTTGGTATAAAACTGTGGTGGTAATATGCTTGGTAAAAGAACCTTAACATTTTATTATGAAAGCACTCATGTGAAACTATTCATATGCATTAATCAAAGCAAAAAGAGGTTTCATAATGTAACCACTCATCTGATTTGGTTTTCCAAATCTTGTAGCATGAGATGCAAGTGTTGTGTGCCAGCTTATTTTATAGGTCAAACCTTGGTGGAACTTACTTGGTAGATTCCATCTTTTCACCAGACGCGTGGGCTCTGATCCATTAATGTTTTTAATGGCTGCTATGCTGTGCTTTTTTTGTTGCTAAAACTGCACACACGGTTAGAATTCAGAAAGATGAGTTGGGCACCCGGGGTTTCTACACCTTGAATGGTAACAGGGTAGGTCAACCTTTTGGCTGGGATTCCTAGCAGCTGGCATGCTAGGCAGCTGGGGGGGGGTTCCCAAGTCGTGGGGATTGGCGGGCGGGGGGGGGGGGAGGGGGTGCCTAAACCAGCTACTAGGAAGTATAGAAAAGCCCTTTTCTTCTACTGTTAGGTAGAGTTTATGCAGGTCCCTAGAACTCAGGCTTGTGCATTACTGATAGGCTGATATTTAGTGGTATAAACCCCTGTGTAGGAGTATAAATTGGGATGGGCAGTTATTTTGCCTGGAGGGCTGCTTAATTAGTTTTGGTGAGCTGTTGAAGGGCTGCAAGGGCACCCTACCCCTGCACATATGCCCTGTCCCCTAGTCGCCGTCTTGGGACCAGAAGTCCCGCCCTGAACCCTTGGTCTCTGCCACTGGAAGACCCTCCCCTTGCCCCCAGAAGTACTTCTTTTGTGAGGGGAGGTTTCCCATCTTGGAACCAGGAAAAATCCAAATAGTATACTAAAATCAAATGCCTACTATAATTATACTATACAAAAATATTTTTGTCATAATTTGTGCTTGTATAGTGTATGTAGAGATGATTGCATAACAACTCAAAAATAAAGTCTTACTCCTATATATCGTGCGTGGGAGGGTGTGGTTGGGGGTGAGTATCTGTGCATGGTGGGGTTTTGTAGCTGTGGGGGGAGCATAGGGTATGTTGGGGGATGTATATGTGGTGGCAGAGTGTGGGTGTGTGGGGTTTGTGAGGTGCAAGGGAGGCTGGGGTGTGAGGATCCCCCCCCACACACACACTCCTTTCACTGCCCCCCACCCCCCTGGCCTCTTGCATGGCACACAGCCCCTGCTGCTCTTGCATGGCACACACCCCCTGCTGCCAGGGGCAGCAGCAGGTGCGTAAGGCGGTCCTGCCCCACACAGGTGCTGCCACCCAGCAGTGCGTGGCTCCCACCAGTGGTACACATGGTGGCAAGGAGCGCAACCAGGCCAGCCTGCCACTATCATGTGGGGCTCTATGTGGCACGCATGCCAGTCCCAGGACTCGCATGCCACCGGGGGAAGCCCTGTGCAAGGGCGCCGACTGCCTTCCCTGCTCCCTTGCATGCAGGTCCCAGGACTCTGCCGGAAGTGGAGGGGGGCCCCGCCCCCTGCTTCCCAGTGGAATCCTGGGACCTGCATGGTGGGGAGCGGGGAAGGCAGCCGGCTCTATTGCATGGGGCTTCCCTCAGTGGTGCATGAGTGCCAGGAGCTGCGTGTATTGCGCAGGGCTCCCCACAGCACAGAGGTGGGCTGGCCTGGCTGCACTCCTTGCTGCCACATGCAGCACTGGGTGGAGCCACGCATTGACGGGTGGCAGCACCTGCACAGGCCCCAATCAACAACCAATTGATACAATCAGTTTTCTTTATCTGTGCCAATCTGATTTTGGACCGATGTATTGGTTCACCTCTACTAAAAAGAATATCACGTCTACTCAAAGAACCTTGCCTGCCTATGTCCTTAGACCAACATGGCTACAACCAAAAACCCTGCATATCCAGTTTACAAATTGAGCCCACTGCTATTTTTTTCTTGTAAATAAT